AGTGAGACTTTGTCTCAAAAAAAATAAATAAAAAAAAAAAACAAAAAAAAAAACAGCTATATCTTCAAAGTAATCTTTAACCTCTAGGCTTCAGGGAATTGCTTAGTCATAAAATATGTTTAATTCTATTAAAGAGAGTAAGATAAAGAAATATATGTTTGTTTAGAGTGGGTATGACTTCACCAGTTGTTTGTTTTATTTTGCTTTTCCTTTTTTCTTTCCTTCCTTTAAGCCATGAAAAGCCAGAAGAGCTTCTGGGTTTTTAAGATGACCACTATTATTCAGCTTCCTTTTGAAAAAGCTCAATGAGAAACTACTGTTGTCCCTTGGTATCTATGAGGGATTAGCTTTAGGATCCCATGAGGATACCAAAATCCTCAATGCTCAAGTCTCTTATATAAAATGGCACAGTATTTGCATATAACCTATGCACATCCTCCTGTATACTGTAAATCATCTCTAGATGTACTGTAATACCTAATAGAATGTAAATTCTATGTAAATAGTTGTTACACTATATTGTTTTTTATTTGTGTTATTTTTGTTGTACTGTTATTTTTATTTTTTCCAAATATTTTCAATCAGCTGTGGTTGAATCCATGGATGCAGAGCTCATGGATATGGAGGGCTGACTGTATAAAAGAGAAAGAAATCAAAGTGTTTCCAATGATTTTCAAATCAAATATACTGCAGATTTGTTTATACCTTCACATCACTAGGTAACAAATGCCTCTCAAACTTTTCTACCAAAATATCTCTTAGAGGCAGAATAAAGAAAAGAACCCAAGAATCCAGGAGGTGGCCTCGCCATAAAAAAATAACATTTTTATAAATTGTATTTTTATCTTGAGAGTTCAAAGAAATTTGAATTCCCTCTATTCCATAATGTACTCAGACATAAAAAATGTTTACCTCTTTCTTCCCCTCAACCCCAAAATCACTAACACCGGCATCCCAGGAAGCTATGCAATGTTAACTCTTTGGTTTTGGGTACATTTCTATCAGAATGCTACATACTCCTAGGCACATTTGTACTCTTTTCTCAGAAGCACCACTGTTAAGGAAATGCAAGCCTAAAAATGACTGTAAAGCCCACTGGCCTTCTAAAGTTAATTCCCACCCAGAATTTCTCAGAGCCACCACAGATATCTTAGTCCCATTACTACAAATAATCTCCTTGACAGCAGAGACCATGACATAATCATCTCTGCATCTTTCATAGCCCCTAACAGAGTATCTTTATACATAATGAACATTCAGGAAGTATTTGTTGAAGGAAGGAAGGAATAAATGAATAATAAACAGACTTAATTCAAAAGGCCAGCCTAAACAGGGTACAGTGGCATGCACTTGTAATCCCTGCTACCCAGGAAGCTGGGGCAGGAGGATCGCTTGAGCCCAGGAGTTCAGGTCCAGCCTGGGCAACATAGCTAGATCCCATCTCTTAAAACAATTTCCTCAAATTTAATTCTCAATGACAAAGATGGTTTTTAAAATATAACTTTTATATTCTCTAAGAGCCTGGAAAAACTTAAAACTTTTCTATAGTCTTATAGTAGTAATGCATTTTTCTATTAAAATCAATTAAAACAGTAGACATAATATATATTATGACATTTACAACAAAGAAATTTGTGTAGCATTTCTTTAGTTTATGAATCTAGTGAAGACCTTTGATGGCACTGTTCACTTTCCTGTAAGTAATATACTTTTGTGTTCTACAAAAATATCTTGCATACTTTAACAAATAAAAAATATTTTAGGATGATTAATTATAAAGGCATTTAAAATTCAA